TTATAGATCCCTTATAGTATATAAACCTTTAAAGACCCCTTAAAAAAGGCCCCCTTGGGTTTCTGCGTATACTATAGTACCCTTATAGATCCCTTATAGTAACCCTTTAAAGGACCCCTTTAAATGAGGCCCCCTGGGTTTCTGCGTAGGTCGTGACGCTGTCCTCGCTTCTGACGGGTTTGCGGCGCGGAGCGGCCTGGGAGCTCTCGCCCTTTGCTTTGTTTGATCTTCCCTAAGGGTCCATGTACATGGGATTTATAGGGACCCTACAAAAAGTACGGTTTGGTAGGTTAAGGTAACCCTAAGGGTCCATGTACCCATATACATGAGCCCCAATGTACCTATGCAGGGACTACATTAAGGCCAATTTTGCTCTGTTTGCTCATTGGGGAAAAGGAGGGACCCTTAATGGGGACCCCTACCCTATAATGGGCTATATAATGGGTATATAACATCTATATTAAGGGTATATACCTAGGGGTCCTTATTAAGGGTCCCTCCTTTTACCCTTAGATTTAATCTTGGGTTGCCTTGTTTCAATTAAAGGGATCTGTAATTAGAGCTGTTTAGGAGTTTAGGGTTTAATTGCCGGCTCAGGGCTCAGAGGCTTTGGGGTTCTGGTGTTTCTTTTATAAGGGGGGTTCCCTCTCAGAATGGAGGTTTGGGGTATCTGTCTCTGTTTAGGGTTTAGGCGTGGGGCTTAGGGTTTAGAAGTTTTAGGCTTTCGCATTCCTTTAAGAGATCTATCATGAAGCCTGAAGGCGTATGTTGTATTATTTAACCCTCTTATAAGGGAGCACATGCGAGCTTACAAAGGGCTGGGGTTTGTCATCGGTGTTGGAGCATTTTCTGAGATTAGGAACTGGCGTGCTGACCGCACTGTTCAAGATCCGCAAAGCCCTTCTTCCCAAAGAAGCACAAGAGGTAGTGAGTCGCTTTGATGAAGCAGACCCAAGGCGTGCTGAACATGATGGGGTTCATCAACAAGAAGCGATGCAATATGAAAGATGGTTCCAGAATGCTTGATGGTATCAGACGACTCGTAGAATGTTCTCGCAAGAGTCCCGAAACCTCCGTTAATCGCACCTCGTTGTCGGGAAGATCGCTGACTAGTGACCAATCTCCTGCAACTGGCAGCAAATCTTTCATGGAAACATTATGGTTGCGTTGGGGCCTGCCATGACAAGGACTGTGCTTTTAAGTAGAGAGTTATGTTTAATGCTTCCACCACAACAGCAGTTTGTAAGGGCCATGTAGGAGGGGTAAAAGTGGTGTTTAGGGTTTCGGCGTCACCGTTGTCATGACTGCCACCATTGCCGGGACATGCCAGAAACCTCCTGACTTGTGATCCTGCCGGTATGTCTTGTGGTGCGTTCTTGTTCCGTGCTGAACACTTGGATGATTTCCAATTCTGATCTAAGTCATATAAACCCTAAACCCGAGTTCTAAACCCTGAACCCCGAACCGCTCTACTGCGAAACGCGCAGGCGCCAATCTTAAACTGTATTCCTCAATCAGACGCTGAGGCTGAATGCTTTCTGGGACTTCTCCGCATCTGCGAAGCCCAATGCGCAGCCCTTGATCCCAGATGTGGCATTTCCGTAGTTTGGGTTTAGGGTTTGAGGCTGAGGGTTTTGGGTTTAATAAACCCTGGCCCCCCAACTTCCAAATACTGGGATCCGTTTCAAGATCCCAATAAAGACCCAAGGTTTCTTAATCAGGTTCCTAGATTAGTGATGCTATAGGAGTCTTTATCATATGGGTCTTATAGAAGACGCTTTTGGCCCAGGGTGTCTGTGCTTGTTGTCTGGGTACCGCCATGCACTGTAGCCGCTTGCTGCAGTTGGTAGACTTGGCTGTCGGGAAGCATTTGCTAAGCATACATAGACCCACGGGCTTACATTGCAATGCAATTTGTTTTCTGGTCTCCGCGGCCTAAGTACAGTGCTGGTCGCGAGGGTTACGAGTAAATGGGTGGAGCCGGAGAATGACGAAGAGCCCTAAGGCTCCCTAGGCCTTACCTGAAGCCTCTACACCGCGACCTCTTCATCTAAGGGGGATAAACAAGCCAATCATAGCATGGAGGCAAGGATGGGAGACCCGAAAGACTAAAGCTCTAACAGAGGGCACTCAAGAATTGGAGAGCCGGAGTCGTAAACGACCGGTGCATGATTCACTGCTAAAAGCCCTCAGTCATAAGCAAGCCATGACATGCAACCATTACATGTTGTTTTTGCAACTGCTCAGAATGGGAGCACGGATGGCTTGCCACAGTTGATGGTATAAGCCTTGAGCGCCAGACCCTAATCCCCAAACGCCCTGTAAGCCCGAATCCTTTCATCCTGTAAACCCTAAGCCCTCAACCTTGCAAGAACTAATTCCTAAACCGTACTCAAGGGGCCATAATAATTACCTATACTATTTTGGAGGCTGCTTATTATGAATATAGTGTAATATACCCGCAAAACCCTATTCCAATTATGAAGGCCCCTATGCTCCAGTAACCTTCTAGTAGCCCTTATAGTAAACCTTATAGACCCCTGTAAAGGAATCCTATTCTAATTATTAAGGCCCCTATAGTATGGTGAAACCGTTGGTTCATGCAGGAGAACATCGGAGCTTCGAAGGCTGTAAGAATCTTGTGTGTGTGTGTGTGCCCAAGGCCGTGATTCGCAAAACATCCAAAACCCTAAGCTCTGAGTCTGCAAATTTTACCATAACTATCTAATACAGAAGCCGCAAACCCTAGTCTCATTGTTCAGGCCCTTATATTATGACAAGTCACCAGCCTTTCAGATTTCAATTTTGGGCTTTAATGCGATGAGCAAGGGTTCGTTTATATAGGGGTTATTTAGGGTTTAGGGGTTAGGGGTCAGGGAAGTATACAGCTCAGACAAAGCTGCGAAGTTCAAACGCTCGTGACGGTGGTGATTCGCTATGGCAGCCCAAGGGGTGGCCAATAACCCCTGACCATCGGGTTCAGGGGATTGTTGGGTTTACGGGTTTGGGACCAGGATCAAGTATTTTTGTCATTTCCGCTCGCAGTGAAGAGACAAAAGATCCTGGGCAAAAAGGTGTGTGACAGGGTACAGGTTGTTGCGTCTTCGGTTTGACATTCAAGTCGCACGGCTTGAGGTTTAGATGATTTGTGTTCCAACGGGTCAGAATAGGTTCGCATGCCGTTTTCCTGCTTTGGAGTTGGACTGTTGCTGGGCTCAGGCTGTAAGGGATCTTGTGGTTTGGGCTTTGCGGTTTGGCTCGGGGTTAGGGGAGGGCTCCAACTTAATACTTGTCTCCTTGGGGCTTTGCATTTGGTGCTTTTTAGGATTTATGGCAATAAAGTTTCGGACTTTGGGTATTGTGGTTTAGAGCGCGGGTGTATTCAAAGTTACACTTTGGGGTTGGGAGTGGCTGAGGTCGTCGCGTACAACGCCTTGCTAGCTGCCCTGGCTGAAGGCGCCGGCTCAGTGTGTTGCCACACTTCGCAAATCATGCGGCTTCTCCTGTTAACCCTAACCCTTGGACATCCCTCAACCCTAAACCGTGACATAGGTTTCTTCTAGTCCGTGACATAGATTTCTCAGGACTAAACTGGAATCTGAACCCTCAATCATTTGTTCCTCTTTATGTCGGGTTCAGGGTTTAGGGTTACCTTGTGAACATTGTCGCCTTGGTTTCATGCTCTTGGTTTGAGTAAACCAAGCTACACCATCCACGATCCGATTCGTTAGGATGCTCCGACCGATCGTCCGGAGTCCAACAAGTGCCGAGGTGGGTGCATCAGCTTCATGCGAAAGCATGACACCGCGAAAGAAGTCGCATGCACGTGATCTTCCACTGGGTCCCTTGTCGACATATGCAGCGTTCTTTGGAGCATATAGGTTTAAGGTTTGGGTGTAGGGACAAGTCTTTGTCACGTACGCTTAGGATTTAGGGTTTAGGATTGAGACTCCCTCCACCGCCTCCCCAATGATATGTATAATACCGCAGCAGATTGACACCAGACTGCATTTCAACTATCATAAACTAGGAAAACCATGTGCTTCACTCATTATTTACGAGAGAGTGATAGCGTTTAGGGTCTAGGGTTTATGCATCGGAGGCCAGCAGTGGCAGTTGACCCTCGGTGCGTTGGAGGAGGCGAGGTTTTGTTAACAGAGGGAAGGGCAGAGTACATTCCGTTCAAGGGATGTACTTCACATTGGCTTTTCCCGACGCCCAAAACCCGATGCTGTTAACACTAAAGCCTAATATGCTTTGAATTGTGAAGTCTAAGCTAAAGTCTGAGCCCCAAACCCAGAATCCCAAACCCTAATCCCCAGGTTCTACATTTCCGATTTCGTCCCTCTTGATTTGAGGGACCGGGCTTCAAGGTTAGAGGCTTAGGTTTTTGAGTTTAGGTTGGAGGGCAGGATTTTAAGGTTTTGGGCTTGGGGTTTAGCTTCCAGCGATTCACGGTTCCTTGAAAGGCTCTTGGAAGGGCTCCTGAACATGTTCTATGAAGAAGAGTTCTGGGGTTCGTGTTTAGGATTTCAGGGGGGTTACGGCTTCAGGGCTTTGGTGTTTTTGGCCTTTGGGTCTATAGCCCTAAACCTTAGATATAGTAGGACCTTAATAGTAGCCCTATTATAGACTCTTACTGTATGGGGGCCGTACCTAACCTAAACCCTAAACCGAGCTTGGTTGTCTTATGCTTCGAGATCCTCTCGGGTTCAGGGACTCAAGGCCTGGTTCCCCGTGAATCGGATGGCATGCCTGGTGTCTGTGCACGGATTGCAGGCAAGGGTGCGTTCTGGTAATGAGCCCAAGACTAAAAGCGCAACATTTCAACATGGTTCCGGGATTGTTTTTTACTATAGTATAGTTGGAAGAAGGAACACTAATGAATTTTGTTGCTGAGCATTCAGGCTTCTATTTTCACAAGCCTGAAACCCTCAATCCAAACCCTCAAAACCCGCCGTATTCTCGATGCCTCAAAATCAGCACGCACGTCTTGCCAGATGCACGGTCTTGGCATCGGCGTGGACGAGGCAAGCCTGCTTCCTTAACGGGCCGTGGGCATGATTTGCAGGGGTCTTTGTTGGAATGTTAACGGCTTCCCTGCAGGGTGCTGTAGGGATCACGGTTCTTAGGGATTACGGGTTTTAGGGTTTTTTGGACTTTAGGAGTCTAGAGCTTTAGGGCTTTAGGAGGGGATTCAACCATGTTATGATCAAGGCTTTGGGGATCTTGGGGGTTCCCTGGAAACTAGGCCGTGGATCCGCTTTCTTATTTATGTAATCCGTAATAATGCCCTTAGGGTTCGGGCTTAGGGACACGTGCATCTCCAGTCTTCATTTTGGCTGGCAGGGTCCGATGGCTCTTATGATACCTGGTAATTGGTTTCGTTTGTGTACAAGCAATGCCTAGTCTGGGGTCATATGAACACTTGTTTCGGAAATCATTAGGGCTTGTCATGACCATACGGAAGACCATGGTGCGGATCAGAAAGACAGACGGAATACGCGGGAGATTGAGGAGGATGTGGTGAGTACACTGGTGACGATGATGACAGAGATCACTGCACCCAAAGCCCACATGAAGCCGCGATACCTCTTGTGGCATACGGTGTGGAGCCTCAGTCAATAAGCTTAAACCCTGAACCCCGTTTCGTGTCTTTGCAAAGATTAAAGCTGGTGTACGCAACATCCCCTGGTATGACATGATGAGCCACCTCGCAAGGCTCCAGTCCCTGCGCCCTTGACTCAATAAGGTCACAGTTGAGAGTTTGGAGGTTTAGGGGGTTTTGAGCTCTAGGGCTTTGGAGGTTTGGGGCTTTGGGGCTTTGGGCTTTACGGTTCAGAGCTCTACGGCCTGAAGGAGCTTCAGGAGCTCAGAAGTCTTAAGCCCAAGCCGCTCCTGAGGCCTCCACCGATCATCCCTAAACCGATGTAGGAATGTTTGTTTAGGGTTCAGAGCTTGCTATTAGCTGCTTGAACATGACTCGTCGGTTGAAGCTTTCCGAGATTTGGAGTAGGGTGTTTAGGAAATATACGTGTGGTCTCCATTGAAGTTCCCTCTTGCGTTACCTGATAGGAATCGACATAAAATATTGGTTATAGAAGCAAAAAATGGAACTACAATTAGAGACTATATATAATTGTTCACGCAGCTTCGGGATTAGGGTGTGGAGTTCCGATTCTGCTCATGGCAGAGAGGGTCGCAATTGATGGTTATCGAGTGTAAAGCGGGAGCTTGGGGTTTAGGGTTAGGGGCGTCAACCGAGAGCTTTGCGACGGTGAACACTGGCAAACTTCCCAAGACCCCGACACTCTGAAACGTAGACGTAATTAATCGTCGACCCAGACTTGCAAAGTATACAGCAATCCGGCGCTCGCAGCCTCCCCCCCTCGCCTGAGACGGATTCAGGTGGCAAAGATGGCCTTCATCACCAGGGCCCGTGTGTCTTGCACTCTTCTTCTGAAAAGCTTGCCGGATGTGTACCGCGACTCACCTGCAAGCCGGCGTACGCCATGGCGCCACCGCCAAAGTCCTTCGACGAGATCGCGAGAACCCTGGCTGCGGCCTCCGGTAAATCCTTCGGCTCGACGCTCCTCCGGCTGACCAGCATGGCTTGGTGATGAAGACACATGTCACGACCGCCAGAGTCACCGGATGAGGTTTTGTGCATAGGCATTGGCAGTTCTTGTCTGCGACGAGGCGGTCCACTCAAATGCAAACTTGCTCACACCTGGTGCTTTGCCCAAACAACCCCTACAAACGTTCCTCCTTAACCCCTAAAGGAGCCCCGGTGTCTAAAATCTAAAGCTACAGTTCCGAACCCCTACGCAATTAGTTCCTTTCAAGCCTGCAATTCATAAGCCTTATTTCCTAAGCCCTAAGCACCCTAAGCAATAAATCCTATAACTCCCAGGCCGCATTCGTCCCACGAGCCCCAAGCCCTCGAGTGGAGGTGTCGGTGACCTCTGCTCTTGGGGCCTGTGAAAAAGGCCCGGGCGTTCAGGCTTCAAAGGCTTTGCAAAGGTCTTCTGAATGTTGCGTCGCGGTTTTGAAAGGTTTTTTGTTTATGCTATTTGGTTTTGTCAAGGCTTGAAGGCTTTCAGGTTTCCGTTTGTTCAGGTTTGCACGAAATTTCAACAAGGTTTCACTAAGGTTTCGTGAAACGGTGTTTACAGGTATTGTTCAGATCTTTCGAAGGTTTCATTAGGGGTTTATGAGGGCATTACAGGTTTTTTGGGGTTTAAAGGCGTTTTACACGGTTTTACAGGGCTTAGGGTTCATGGCAGCAGGGCTTGTAGAGTCCAGGTACCCATGTGCGAGTTTCCGAAAATAGGGGACCCGAATATAAGGACCCCACAGTAAGGTATCCCTAATTGTCGGAAACTCCCATGTAGTCTTATCTAACATGGACCCAAAGCCCGGAGCAGAGATGAAACATGTTGGGTTTCGGGCGTATGCTGGCTCTGACATTGTCCGCCAAGACCGTCAAAATACAACACCGAGCCTTAAGACTCTTACCTGCACTTAAAGCTTGAACTTCAGATTTCCGTTTCACATTAACGCTCAGGATTCGGGGTGCTTAAAGCCCTGAAGCTTTCAGACCCCCCAAGCCCTAAACATCCTTCCTGGTAATGCCGGCCATGATACCCTCGGATATGATGCAAACCCATCACTGGAGCACATCCCCAAGGCCAGAAGATCAGAAAACTGCCAAGAATAAATAAATAGTAGGATCCTGATCAAAACGACCCCCAAAAACAAGGTAGCCCCTTTCTATATCAATGTTCCTTAAGGAGGCCTGACCTTCCAAGCTTGTCGTGCAAGTGCTCTTCCTTTGGGCGGCAATGCCCCGAATCCGTCCAGCTTGGGACATACATATATATTCGGAAAATCCATTATAGTATCATTAGAATTATTACAATACAGCCTTCTGAGAGTTGCAGCTTCAGGAGGCATTCCGCCGACAAGCTCTTGCACAAACAGACCCGAACGTGATGGACAGATTGCGGTTGAATTTACACATAAATCTAAGCCATTCCAAGGAGCTACCTCGAAAACAGCTTAGGTCTGAATTGGATCTAATCGTGCCGGTCACGGTATAGTAGCCAGCCTGCCTTTCGACGCAAGCTCTTCCCCCATGGCGTCTGCCGATGCTGAACGACGCCCTGAACCGAACATTTCTCCAGATTTCTCCCCGGAGTGAACCTCTAAGTGTGCGCCCGCGGCTAAACGAAGATGCGATCGTATCTTTTCGTAAAGTCACACTACGACACTACGTTTAACATCCCCTACACGCCAAAAGCCTCAAATATCCTGTAACATTTCATTAGTCTAGAGAACCGACTACCCTACGGGTTGAAAGGGCCTGAGAGTTACTTACGCACCGGCTATTGGGCACTTGACTCAACTCAGAACTTAGCTCCCAAAAGCAATTCCTATGTCGAGGGCAGCAGTGGGAGACGGCTCTGCTGCTGCTCTTTGGGATGCCGAAGAGAGCCTTGAGGCCAGCACTCGTTGGATTTGTCTCTTTAGGGTTTAGGGTTTCGGACTTTCAAGGTCTTTACAAGGGCTACTATAAGTCTAGGGCAAACAGGCGTAGGCACCACTCTGGGGGAGCAGCCCAAATCCCTTCGACCCCCCTTCGCCGAACCCCCGCCCCCTTCGTCGAACTTCGCCCTCGGCTGTGGCTAATATTAGTATTAATATATTTAGTATTAAAATAATATAATAATTAGTAGTAGTACTCTTATATAATTAGTATTAAGATATACTATAACTAATTACAAGTATTATTGTATGAAACATGCGAGGATTAGTATTTGTTGTTATATTAGTTTTAGATAATAGAGTCTGAGTACTTGCTTATGTGTCATACTTCCGGTGTAGTAATTGTAAGCCACAAATAAAGAAAAACAATAACAAAAACAGCCCATCACAAGAACTCTAGTAACTGATTGAGAAGCAATGGTTAACTATTTGGACAACTACAAAGACAATGCACAACTTATTACTTATGATAATGAATAAGAGCTACGGAATAATAATGACCATTTGTTTGCTAGCCAAATAATTCTTGTAGTAACTCATATGATAAGAACAAATAATAACTGCCATACCCCCGAGTGTAGCAACAACAACAATCGCCCGAGTCTCACCTACCTAAGTACATGTAACCTTAGTCGTGTAACATTTGCGTGGTAATTGAAATTGTAGAACAGCCGCCCGAGTGTAATAATTTAAAACCAACGACAACTGCCCGAGCCTCACCTACCCAATCATCTGTGCATAGTTTATGCAATATATATTTAGTATTCTGAACATGAGTATAACACATATGCATTAGCTTCCCCATAACTTTAAAGCCCCCTGTAACTTCCCCTTAACCTTAAACCCCAGCCCGCCCCTTCACCTCCGGCGCCGTCGACACGACAACCGCCGGCGCCCCACTTTCGGGTGTGGGTTTTAGGTCCAGGGTAGTTGTAACTTGGTTCTTTGGGTTTCGCGTTTAGTGTCCAGGGTGTAGGGGTTTGGGGTTAGGGTTTGGGGGTCAACGGGTTTGGGAGTTGTTTGGGGGGAGCAGGTTGTTCAGGGGTTCAGCCTGGGGCCTTGGCGTGTTGGTGGGGTTTCGGGTTTAGTGTTGAGGGTTTGGAGCTCAGGGGTCGAGGTTCTAGGGATTGGTGGTTCGGGGGGTCCGGGTTTTTCAGGGTGTTCAGATTGGGGCTTTGCGGGTTTGTCGGGTGGAGCATGATCTTGTGTTGATTGGGGTTTGGGGTCGGGTTGGGGCTTGACTCAGGCTGGGGTTTCGGGTTGAGGCTTAGTTGAATTGATGGGTTGTTACTGTTAATTTAATTTAATTCTAGTAACTGCCGGGGGCCCTGGACTTCGTGACGAGGCGCGTTTAGGATTAGTGGTTATTAGAGGTTTGGGTTTGAAGAGGTGGACTGGTGCATTGCACCAGGCCCCTCAACAGCATCCAAGATGCCAGGTGGCCGCGGCGGCCTGACCACCGGTCAGGCTCCCGGCTCAATAGGCCTGGGCGGCCGTGGCGGCCTGACTTCGGTCAGGCTCCCGGCTCCCGGTCTTCTGGAAGCAGCCTTGTCTGGGCGGCCGCGGCAGCCTGACCACCGGTCAGGCTCCCGGCTTCCGGCATGGCCTGGACGGCCGTGGCAGCCTGACCACTGGTCAGGCTCCCGGCTTCCGGCATGGCCTGGACGGCCGTGGCAGCCTGACCACCGGTCAGGCTCCCGGCTTCCGGCATGCGGCTTTCAGTTCACCCTGGCATCTTCGGATACTGGTCTGGGTGGCCGCGGCTCCCGACCAGATCATTCCAACCTCGCCCGAGCCCCCAAATAGCTTAGCAGTAGTCTGAAACCCTACTAATAAATCAAGACTATACTTAAATTATACCCTAAACCATAATAATATTAATAATACACATTCCCCTCCCCGCCCGGCCCTGGTCCGAGCCTCAGTTACGGAGTCAGTTGGGGTTGATTGATTCATTCCCCCTAATTATACCCTCAATTTCAACTAGTAAGCCCTAAATAAATAAAGGAGGTGTCAACCCGAACCCCACCTGAAGGCTTCAATTGACTTGTCCGAGTTCTGAGAATAGCAATGCTTATAATTCTAATAAGTAATAATTATACTAATAGTGATCATTCCGTATTCCAGGTTGAAACTGCCCGAGCTTCCCAAAGCATCGTTCATGGAACTTCATTCTTCAAGAGAGCCATGACAATCATAATAATACTCATTCTTTGATCGTCATAGACATTCGTTAGTTAAGAAACTAAACAGCGTCCCATGGATCATCACCCCACCAAGCCATCCTTGCAACTGCCCGAGCGACCCATACCTCCTGCCCGAGCCCAGAGCAAAGAAGACTACTAGTGCTACTAGGATCCAACTCAATATAATTATTATGATTATAAGACCCCGACTACAGACATCAAAAGCATGCTCTAGCAGCCACAGCATTCCCACAATCGATTTTGCATTATAATATACAATATTGTTCCAGCCAATTAAGAGCCCTGTGTTTGCGAAGTTGGGAGTGTTTGGATTTGGGACTGCGTGAACATCCAGTCCCCAGCCCCACACCTCAGTACTTAGATTCGTAAATAAACCACAACGACAACCCCAAACTCTAGACTTCGGAGCCTTCAACCCAAGGAGCTTGCTCACCCGCAATCGCAATACCTGCCGCTCAGGTCTGCCACCCGCTGCGATTCGCCGTTGGCTGACCACGATTGTCCGAGGACCGGTCCATTGACGGGGTGTCGAGGGCTGTGGCAGCATCAATAAACAAATAAGACTAAACATTTCTGGGTCGAAGGGGCTTGAAACCTTGCTAAAAATATTAAACGTGGGCCACATTGGAGTTTGCAGAGGTACGTCCGAGATCCAGGCCACACGTCAAAGGGTATTTATTATTACTATTGACTATGTGTCCAGTCCCGCATTTGGCAAAATTCATGAGACTTTTAATAAACTTCAGTGGCTGTGACCGACACCGCCGCCATCATCCTCGAGTAATTCGTGAAGCACTTGATTGAGCGGCTGGGGTTTTAGCACCCACTTTGCCTCCAGACGATAGCAAGCCCGTGCAGCAGGGCCACCAGTAGTAGAAGTAGTGGAAGAAGTAGTGGTAGTAGCAGCAGCAGCAGTGTGGTAGTGCTAGTGGTAGCAAGGCTCATAATAATTCTCTAACGAACGAGAGCCCTCGTCTCAATCCCATACATGTACCTATTATTTTACACGTAGTCAGTGGCTAGAATTTGAAGTATTGAGTACCTTGTCAATTGTAAACATTAATCATTTAGATCGAAGTTCTGTGCCAGCCATGGCAAGCGCCGCCGGTGGAGGTGGCCGAAAGAACGAGGAGCCGCCCGAGAAACCGCCGGGCGGAGACGAAGATGCGGAAGAGGAGGAGGATGAGGATGTGCCCGAGGACGGTGTTTGGAAAAGTAAGCTCTAACTAAATAATAAATAATTAAGCCTTCCCTTGAATTGAGCCAAAGATGACTTGGGTTAATTAATTTTACGGTGTTGAGATGATTGAATAGAAAGCCCCTGCAGGAAAAGCGGCGTCCAGGCTCCAAGCCCAATAAGAAGCTGCGGCAAAAGCGTCGCTTGCTCCGGGAGGCGGCGGAGCAAGCTGGCCAGCCGCCCGAGAAACGGCATCCTCACAGGTACAGGCCTCCGTCGTCCGAGCCGGCTAGCAGCAGTGGTGGTGGGCGGCCGAGTTCTCGTGCTGCGTCCGAGCCGTCAAGCAGCAGCCGGCCGGCCGGGCGGCCGTCTCCGCAACTCGGTTTGAAGATTCAGCCCCGTGTTGCCTTTATTAATACTTTTAAATCAATAAATAGACTATAATTAATAATAATAATTATAAGTAATAATATTATTTTAATAATAATAAATAATTATAAGTAATATAACAACTATATTTAATTATTATTTATAGCTAGTATTAATAGTGAATAGTGGCTGTAGGAAGAGGTGGGTTTGGACCTGGTGTGGTTCATGCGTGCCCCGAGTTAAGCTCCAATCAAGGTATCCACAGGTGAACGAGTTTATGGAGAACATGGACAACCTCCCGTCCGATCCTACGGCGGCATACAACATCCTGTTTCGCCAGTGGTGCTGCATGAATGCCCGTTTGGTGTACATGCATGCCTGCAGGAAGGCTGTGGCTCGGCGTGCTAAGCAACTTTTTTCGGATCCTTGAGTCATTGAGGGGTTGATTGGTTGTCTTTCAGGGGTTGGAATTTAAATGTTCTAACAAATATATTTTCGTGTGCAACATCCCCAATTCCAGATCGCCGATGCCCACGGGATGCTGCCACTGCAGCCCATCAATAAGCCCGTGACGATGGCGGACTTCACCCGAGCTGTTCAGGAACCTCAGCTTCATGTTCTTGCTACTGCCTAGTCGTATTGTGATGTATCCTTCTAGTTAAGTTCCAGGCCGACTGGAATCTCTATTATTTGCTAATCATAATAATTATTAATGCACAGAAAGCATCCGAGGAGCTGAGGGACCTCCTGCAGTTGGCCCGGGCCCAGTTGGCAATTTTCGCATTGCATGCGCCCGAGACTTGGAAGAGCAGTAATACAGTCTTTGCAGGGCTTAACGTGGACATCCGATACTCAGTTCAAGTCAGTCCAGGAGTAACTCTTAATTATTTTGTAGTAAATTAATCCAAAAGACTTAATTATATCATTATTAATTTAATTTAATTCGCTAGTATATAATAATGCTTAGTATATAGTAACTTAGTAACTAGTTAATTGATTATTTTTTGTTATTTGTGTTAGCTAGCTAGCTTCGCTGCACCCTGGCCAAGGAGGAGTACAACTACTGTATCACCGTCACCGCGATTGTCTTCGCCGAAGATACCACAGTGAAGGCGACTGAGTTATTAACTAGTAGTCGTCGTCGTAGTAGTAGTAGTGGTAGTAGTAGTAGTGGCAGTAGTAGTGGCAGTAGTAGTAGTAGTA